CAAAATTGGAATTATTGGCTTCATTTGTAAATTTTCGATTCGATACATGCGTTTCAGAATAAATATGCCTCTCAATTATTGATTTTATAAAATGTTAAAATTTATTGATATTAATAAATTGATCAATTAGATGAATGTATTCTTGTTTGTCTTTTTAATAAAATTTTATATGAATTATGCAATTATTTTAATTTATTTTAATATTAATTTCAATGATGAATATTATATTAATAATTAACATTTCGATTAACATAATTAAGTTCAATAGAAATAGGTTCATATTCTTTAGTAGAACAATTTTCAATAACAACACTAATCGACGATCTTGCCCTATTCTTTCCAGGTTCTTGTTTTTCTTTACTTTTGAGACAAGATTCCTGTATTCAGACAAGATTCTTTTCGACAGGAAAGTAAAAAGAATCTTGTCTAGATTTCAAGATGGCAAGAATCTCGTCTGATTAATCAGAAATACAAGAATCAAGCAAGAATCATAAGATATTCAAGATATATTTAACGTTCAGACAAGAATCTTTTTCTTTCCTTTTAAAAAGAACCTTGTCTGAGGTTCAAGATCAAAAGAATCTTGTCTGAAAATTATGAAAAAACAGAAGCTGGAAAGAAGTACAAGATATTTTAAATTTCTTACTGTTCAGGCAAGATTCTTATGACAGGAAAGAAAAAGATTCTTGTTAGCTTTCCAAGATCAACGGAATGTGATGTCGTCTTTGTATGACCAAATATATATAAAGCAATGTCTGAACGTTATTTATTCATTATTAATTCGATAGCTAGTACAGTTTCACTTTGAATATGTACTTTTTCTAAAACGTTCGATTTGTTCAAACAACATCTGACAACTCTATTTCAATTAGATGTAGGGAAAATGTTTCCATTCGATATAGAGAGAAGAATGGAATATATAACAGCTTTTTTTTAATTTTTTTCCGATAAATTACACTTATTGGATACATTTCAATATTTTACTAATCCATATCTTTCTATTTATTTTATTTTTTTAGATTTTCTTTCATTATGTACAAAAGTATTTTTTTAATGGACGATCGAAATCCCAGATACACATGACTATGATGAAGTTCGAAAAAAATAAATATTTTTTTTTTGATAATGAAAATTTTATGTTGTTCTTGTGTCAAAAACTTTGAAACGTCTATAATAACATATGAAACTAAAAGTATTTTTTTTTGTTTTTTTACATTTTTTTGTACATGGTGTGCAAAGCTCATAATAAAATGGTATGAAACAGATAGTAATTATAACCTATACAAGGCATTTTTTAATATGACAAGATTCACGCAAGAAACACAAGAAATAAGAAACAGACAAGAATCTAAGAAAAAAAGAATCAGACAAGAATATCAAGAAAAATAAAAATCAGACAAGAATGCAAGAAAAGCAAGAATCAGGCAAGAAAGCGAGAATACAAGAATCTTGTCTGCAGGAGAACTTCTTGCCTCACCAGCCAAGATTCGGTCTACACGAATCTTGTCAGAAAGGCAAGATCAGTTTTTTTTCAGGCAAGAATCTTGTATAGAAGGAATGGAAAAAGAATCTTGTCTGCAAACCAAGAATAATAAGAACCTGGAAAGAATAAGGCAAGATCGTCGATTGGTGTTTTTTCAATTTTTTTTTATTGCTCAAATTATTCTGAGAAAAGAAGTAAAACTATATATATATATTTTTTTTCTTTTCCTGTATCATGTATTTACATGAACACATTCGCATGTCTGATAGAAAAGGAACAGAAATATAGAGAGAACGAAAGGCTTATTATAATTGTAACTGTAAAGTGTATTTTAAAAATGTTTGCTGGGGACTTGGGAGTACCCATCTGAGAAAATTAGATATTCTTATTCAACTTTTCGAGCTCTTTCTAATGATGTATTTTTTTATTGAGTCGGCACAAAGTCGAATTTTTTCGACCAGTTGATATGATCTATATATGAAATAACATCGACGGTTTGTTTGAGGACCGAGAAAAAGTTGTATGGGTCAAACAGTGCAATCGTTTTTTTGCTGTTCTTTCCACGTCACAGTTCTGTCTTGATGGGATCGATTGTATTGAGTACCGATAGGATATAGTTAGACTTTGTCGCTGCATAACTTATCAATATTTATCAACCAGTGGCGTAGCCAGAAATTTTTGGGTACTGGGCAATTCTCCAGCGGAACTATTTTGAGATATGGGCAGCTCTGGGCAGTTGTTATCGTCTTAAAAAATCACTGGGCAATAACTCTTAGAGCATCGATTAATTGTCAATAACTGAAAAAACTGGTGGGCAATAACTTTTAGAGGAATGGGCAATTGCCCAATGGCCCTACCCCTGGCTACGCCACTGTTATCAACTCGTTTTTGTTAAAGCGAAATAATTTTTTGTTTATTATAAAAACTCATGAAATTTTTTTTCAAAATGTTTCGTGTTAGATTATTAAGTTTGATTTGTTTTATTTGATCAAAATGTTAAACATAGAATTGATGCACTTATGCATTGAACAGACAAATATTACGAAATATTTTCATGTAAATATTTTTTTTTATAGTCAAACAGATTAATCTAAATATGATTAATTAAACTCATAAAATCTGAATAAAGTATAAATTTTGCCTTTTACTGAAGTTACCAAACAGTCTTATGATAGATTGGTTGCACTCGATGCAGACAGTAGAAGGACGATGGGTCAAACAACCCTTTTTTCTGTTCTGTGAAATAATATTCGTGCTAGTAAAATAGAGAAGGAGCAGAAAAAAAAGTAAGACAAACAGGCCATATAGTGCATCAGTCTACTCTCTAGATGTTTTTACATAGTAACATATGATGTACACTAACACATTCATTTTTAAATAACTGCATGCAAGGTATAGTACAACTGCGTCTGACTTGATGAAAAAATATCATCCATCAATCTATTCGTGAACTGAAATAGGTAGATAGAGTAAGTTTCTCATATTTTTTCTCAATAATAACTATAATCTATGCTATTTTTTTGCTCCATAGTAAATTATTAAATTAATCGTTTTCAAATAGATTTATTGTTTTTATTGTCAAAAACTTGTCATTTATGAGCCATTAAAATAAATCATTGATTCAGTAGAGTTAGATAATATATTCTGATCAACTCATCTCATATATTTAAGTTTGATGTTTCATGTCATTTATAGCTTTCTTTTTTTATTTAATATCAACAAAAATCTTATCGGTAGAGACTAATTCAGTTTTTTTTACTAACTAAAAGCGGTCAAAATTATACTCAGATATTTTCTCAGCTGTTATAAAAGAAATTTAATAATTGCATAATCAAATAATTTTCATCGAGTAATCATAAAATGAAATATTACTTTGATATACTGATGATTTTTTCAAGAAGGAAACAGTAGACTTCAAGACTGATGAGACTTCAAAGGCTTCACAAGACTTCGTTGACAATCTTTCGATTTCCCATCTAATGCTACGTTATTCTTAGTTTATATATTCGAACTCAGATCATCATGAATCAACTAAAACTAAGTTTTGAATACGTTTATTAAGAAACACGTAGCTGTCCGTGTTGCATGTTTGTGCATAATACTGCGGTACCCATAAACGCTGATGACATATCGGCAATAGATTCTCGGTCGGACAGCAACTATCGATATGCTGCGATATAATTGCTTTCAGAAGATAGTTAATTGTTAAAGTATCCAATGATTCTTCATTGTAATCAGGACTTATTGAATATTCTTTGCATGATAATGTAGTATTAGAAAACAAAGATGAATATCTTTCATCAACTAAATAATTTTCAATATGTGTCTCGTGTGTATTAATACATATGGGAATTAACTTTCGTTCTTCAATTTTACATATATTTTATTTGGTAACGTTTATTTTTGATTTTAGTTACTTAAAAATATTTTTTAATAATCGATATACAAATTGTAGCAATTATCTTTATTTATTTTTTGAACTGTAATTTTACTTATGATTTGAATGGAAAATTTGTCGCTTTATTATCTGTGAAGAATCAGTTTCAATTTATTATTTTGTATATATGAGCAATGTTTTTATCAGAATACACGAATTCTTAACAAATTCTTTTAGGATTCGTTTATCACTATCATAAAAAACCTTAGCATATCATAGATCAAATTTAAATCGTCAAGGTAAAAAAAAAACATATGAGCACTTTTTTCCTTCTCATTCTTCATGTTATTTGCTTCAGACCTTCAACATATTTTGCTTCTTCTTTGTAATATAAACGACCTACTATAATAAGAATACCATATGGCAGGTTAAAAAAACATTTTTTCCCCTTCTTCTGTCTCTTCTACTTCTTAACATTGTATATAAAAAGCATCTACGTATTGTTATATATAATAATAATAACTCAAAATGTCGAATAGACGAACAAAATATACCAAGAATAATTTTCAAGTTGAAAATAATGAACAATTTTCACGGAAACGTTCATTATCAATTCATACATCACAACAAATTAATAAAAAAATTTCTGGACCAACTTCCAAACGTTATAAAATACTTTTAACGTGTGTTGTCTGTAATGATGATGCACACGGTAAATAAATATATTTATGACAATAATATTTTTATGCCTCAATTACTTTCATTAGGTTATAATTTTGATGCTATATCATGTGAATCGTGTAAAGCATTTTTTCGTCGAAATGCATCACGACCATTGGTAAATAAATGTATTTTTCAAGAAAAACTATTTATTTAATTTATTATAATTTAGGAAAAATTCAAATGTCGTGGAAATGGTGCTTGTGATGTAACATTTAATATAAGAAAGCGATGCAAACGATGTCGTCTTGAAAAATGTCTTAAAACAGGTTAGATATAATAATATTCATGTATTGTCTAGTTTTCATTATTTTGTTTAGGCATGCGAAAAGAATGGATTCTTTCAGATAAAGAGTAAGTATTATATTAATATTAGTGATTGATAAGATTAGTATAGAACCAATTTTTAAATCATATTATATATTTATATCATGTACATCAATACAGTTTAACGTGAATAGAAACTTTTTTTTTCATTAGACGAATTCATTTAACCAAAATGGCATCTATTACCAAATTATATTCTTTTCAATATCTGAAGTTTGTTTCATTTTTTATAATTAAAAAATTGATTTACAATTTTTTTAATTTTTATATTCATGTTAGTTTAAATCTTTCATAGTAAAATTGTGAATTATGCAAAATTTCACAATAAACTTGCTTATCATGTGCTCAAATATTCCAACTGAATTCTAAACATCTACAGTCGATTTCCCTAATAACGACGGGAAAATTTTGTCTTACCTTATTTCGTTTGGTTCTCATCTATTGTGCATCCAATTAAAAATATTTTTATATTTGGAGAATCCTTGGAGTCTCCCCTTTCCAATGATATGTAGGTTTCATTTTACTTACTTGTTATCATCGANTTTTGTAATTCATTTTCGCGAGTATCAAACAGCGAAAGCCATTAGAATAGGTCTTTTCACGTCAGCAACCGTTCAATCCGGACTTCAAAAACTATTTTTTGATGAAATTAATTATGTAATCGGATCCTTGCCATTTCGAATGCCGTTGGCACAAATACATCTGAGAATTAATACTTGTACTTATAGCAAATATCATGCTTCTATTCATGATTGGTCTCATCTACAAACATTTGCAATGATAAATTGCATGATGAATGATACTAAAGATATATTTGTGTTATCTTGTACTTGATCAACTAATCCACAATTGACGTCTCTAATAATTCCTGAGTTTCAATACAAGTTTAACTTAGGATTTGATAGTTCTAGATGGGAAAGATTCATTCAGGCGAAGTTGTCTTTGTTAACTAAATTTGAATTTTTTGTCAGTTATGATTTTTTGAAAGCTTGTAATACTCCTAGTTTGAAATTGATTATTTCTTCATTTCAAACAATATTCTGGCTGGATAATAAACATTGATTTGTTGCCATAGATTATATCTTCGTATCATCGAAACTCGAGATGTATATGATGCCAGTTTGCATTTCCGATCCTGAAATCACAACAAGATTCACTCTTTTCTCAACGAATAATGTCTATCGTGTTACAAATCGTCAAACCAATGATCTGTCTAATATTATTTGAAAAGAAGTATTTACGAAACATTCGATATCATATAGCAAAATTCAGACCATTGTCATGTTAAAACTTGCTTTCAATATTATTACTAGGTTTCATCAAATTCTTCTCATTGAATTAAAAGAGTTTATTATTTTAACTAGGAAACTAGTATAATCGTATTAAAGTGTATTCAAAACATGTTCAGTTTTCGTATGCATTCGAAAGGACAAGGTCTGAAACAACTGCATCTAAGGTTTTGGATGATTTATAGTAAAGCCAGTCTTGATCAAATTCTAGTAGCATCTACTTACTATCAACAAAAACATTTATGAATTCTCTAATAAATATGCACTAAAATTCTACTACCACACTAATCGACGATCTTACCCTATTCTTTCTAGGTTCTTGTTTTTCTTTACTTTCAGACAAGATTCTTTTCGACAGGAAAGTAAAAAGAATCTTGTCTGGATTTCAAGATGACAAGAATCTCGTCTGATTAATCAGAAATAAAAGAATGAAGCAAGAATCATAAGATATTCAAGATATATTTAACGTTCAGGCAAGATTCTTATGACAGGAAAGAAAAAGATTCTTGTTAGCTTTCCAAGATCAACGGCACGTGATGTCGTCTTTGTATGATCAAATATATAAAGCAATGTCTGAACGTTATTTATTCATTATTAATTCGATAGTTAGTACAATTTCACTTTGAATATGTACTTTTCCTAAAATGTTCGATTCGTTCAAACAACATCTAACAATTCTATTTCAATTAGATGTAGAGAAAATGTTTTCATTCGATATAGAGAGAACAATGGAATATATAATAGCTTTTTTTAAATTCTTTTCCGATGAATTACACTTATTGGATACATTTCAATATTTTACTAATCCATATCTTTCTATTTATTTTATTTTTTTAGATTTTCTTTCATTATATACAAAAGTATTTTTTAATGGACGATGGAAATCCCAGATACACATGACAATGATGAAGTTCGAAAAAAATAAATCTTTTTTTTTTTTGATAATGAAAATTTGATGTTGTTTCTTGTGTCAACAACTGTGAAACTAAAAGCATTTTTTTTGTTTTTTTAGGTTCTTTTGTACATGGTGTGCAAGGTTCATAATAAAATGATATGAAACAGACAGTAATAATAGCGTATACAAGGCTTTTTTAATATGACAAGTTTCAGACAAGAAACACAAGAAATAAGAAACAGACAAGAATCTAAGTAAAAAAGAATCAGACAAGAATATCAAGAAAAATAAAAACCAGACAAGAATGCAAGAAAAACAAGAATCAGGCAAGAAAGCAAGAATACAAGAATCTTGTCTGGAGAAGAATTTCTTGCCTCACCAGTCAAGATTCGGTCTACACGAATCTTATCAGAAAGGCAAGATCAGTTTTTTCAGGCAAGAATCTTGTATAGAAGAGATGGAAAAAGAATCTTGTCTGAAAACCAAGAAAAACAAGAACCTGGAAAGAATAGGGCAAGATCGTTGATTGATGCAGAAACAAAAGAATTTTTTATACAATATTCCAAACGATAGAACACACATAAATCAAAAAAATTACCTATTGGAAATATGGTGTATTATTCATTTAAATGTAGCTGATCGGTGTCCCAAAATTTTTGACCCCGCTTTGTAAATTGACGCTACCTATATGAAGAATATTTACAGATAGTTGATTGAAGACATATAGTTCTGTAGTGAATGAGTTGCGTGATAGTTATAAAAAGTTATGATTATTTTCTTTATAATGACTAAGATTTTTACATGTTACATTCTTTGCAAAAACGAAAATGTTCTTTAATTTTTTTTACACATTAATGTCAATTGAAACGTAGTTTTCTACACACTTTTACTAGCAAATTTTTATATGATTCGATGAAGTTCCAAAGCTCTACAAGAATATGAGCTTGTCAAACTCTATCGGATCATATGAAAATATCTAGAAAACGATATTTCTCTTGATACATTACAAGCATATTTTCTTTTAGTGAAAAAGGTCCAATAAAAAATGCTGAATCATCATAAATAAAATTATCACAAGTTTTCATAACTATGACACAATCTGAAATATTTTGCTGCAAATGATAGGTCTTCTCATTTCCTAACAAACTGTATATTTCAATCAACTACTTATAAATATATTTGATATAGATAACATCAAATTACAAAGAGATGTTGAAACTTTTGGAATGCTAGTTATTTGCAAGCTCTTTCGTAATTACATAGTACTTTTTATGCCTTTACCATATTGCTTGTTTAAGTCTGACTATTTTGAACCTCTCTGAGAGTGGCATTCGCGACAAAGAGATCTATTATTTCGTTGATGCTCTGAGAAATGATCAGCCTAGTTTCTTCCTTATGCAGTATAATTAGTTTTCTCGTACTTTCACAAAAACACTCACTATATTGAGTGTCGCCTGGAGCACCATAAATGTTCAAGGAGTACAACGCCTTAGTCAATGCATACAAAANCAAGGTGATAGGTGTTGTTCAAATTGAACGAGGCACTATTATCATGTCTCGACGTATTACGATGTTAGGTGGCTTTCCGAAATCAGGACAAAATGTACCAGTTCAAGTTGTGTTTCAGCGCGAGACAAACGGTGAATTGTGGACTCGAACTTTCGCGGACAAATCGTTTTCTAGTTGGCATACAAAAGGTTCTGGCCATTCAGATAGGTTGTTGATGGAACAGTTCGAACCATTTACTTTTGGCCTGGCTTTAGTGACTACTGCTGGGAAGCTGCATTGTATTGTGCGTAGCTGGACTCTATTTGGAATTCGACTACCAGTATTTTTAGCACCACATGGAGACTTCTATGAATTTGATCATGATGCCCGTCCTTGTTTTCATGTTGAAATCAAACATATACTCATAGGATTAATGGTCTGATATCATGGATGGCTAGTGCCAATCGTTTAGGTTTAGTTTTGATTTTTGTCAAGTCTGTCATTCCTCCCTTTTCGATTACATTGAATCAAAACCAAGATTATAGTTGATTATTCTTGTGATCGATCACTGTTTACTCGCAAGTAGATATTTGCATCTACGCTTTGTGTTTTATGGTTTCCTACAATAACGATATATTTTCTTAAGGAGAATTAATAAATTTGATGTTTTCTTATTTTAAGTCATTATTTAACGCAACCTGAAAATCTTCTCAATTCGTTTAAGGCTACTCTTGTCGATAGTAGGACAGAGTGAGCTATTATAAGTAGCTTTTTATTCTAGACTGCAAAGTTTTAGTTTTCGTAACACCTAGATATTGTCACGGTTGCATGAAGTAACAATTGGCAAAACAGAGTATTTTATGATACTTATATAATGAAAGGATGAATTGAAACTAATGGGCGGATTTTTATACATGCAATACAAACAACTAGCGTAAAATATAGAGGGTGTGGGTGTGTGTGGCTGTGGGTGTGGGTGGGTGTGGGTGTGGGGTGGGGTGTGGGTGTGTGTGGGTGTGGGTGTGGGTATGTGGGCATGGGGTGTGGATGTGGATGGATACAAGAGCTACACCCACGCCCACACCACACACCCACACCCACACACACCCACACACCCACACCCACACCCACACACTCGCATATTTACTAATTGAGATACTTTGGAACTAAATAGTTTTCTACACACATATAACTATTTCATTTTTTCACGTCTTTAACACTTTCATTTACCAGGATATACATGTTTATTAATTAGGCAATTTTCGAATTCATCGATCTGGAACACATTTGCAAATCATGCACTGTCAATATTTCTTTCTTTGGTATTGTATATTTCAACAATAATTACCTATGAATACGATAGAGCAGCAGAACAATACCAGAAGCCAAATCTCAACACGAGAAAATATCGATAAAAAGTGATCTAAAATGACTTATGAACAACACTTCTACATTTCACACAAATCTTAATTATTTTCCATTTGTAAAAGATGGGGAAATGGCTTCCATAGAATACATATTCATCATTAGACATGATTCATTCTCCTCTTTTTTTATTTATTTTGAGAGCGAAGGTGCAGCTGTGAGATGACACAAGATGCACAACAACATCCAACCATATCCTGGCTAGCTTTTCACTGTCCCTAGAAGTTTACCATGAGTTTTTTCAATATATATATACACCTAATCATATCATAATATATTGAGAATTTTAATTGAAATTTCACTTTACATTCATTTTCTATGAATTATTTCTTCCTTCAAGATAATCAAGAAAAAGTTTATAATAAGCATTACCAAGTTCCATCAATTCCGCATGAGTACCACTTTCAATCAAATGTCCATATGAATCGAAAAGACAAATTAAGTCGCATGATTGAATGGTTGAAAGACGATGAGCAACAAAGATAACAGTTTGCGAAGGATTTTCTTGCCGAATGAGACTCAATGATTCTTGTATTAGCTAAAGAAAAAGATCATATTTCAATATGTTCCAATAGGATAAAGGAAAGAAATTTATTTTTCATGTTGTTTTCTGTGTCTTAAGAGCTATCATACATGTTTGAGGTTCAGTATTACTGCAGTTATTAACTTATTTGAATTAAATCAAAATCGTATAAGTGTTCAAGTTGCTTCATGCATAGATAGAGAACCTTTTCTCTCAAGAAAATGGAACTTTTGAACTTATAAATGTTTTCTATACTCTAAAGAATAAAACAAATGAAAGACGTGAACCTGTTCATTGTCCGCATCGAGTGCACTGGTAATTTCATCGAGTAACAAAATTCTAGGATTGTGAAAGAGAGCTCGAGCAATGGCGATACGTTGCTTTTGACCACCAGATAAATGGAAAGTACCATTATGACCAACAGGTGTATTATAACCCTATAAATCAAATACAATAAAAAAAGAACATTTTTTTTTCAGTCTGAAATTCGTTTAAATAACTGACTTCAGGTAAATTCTTGATGAAATCATGACAATGTGCTCGTTCTGCAGCACGAATAATATCTTCATAAATAATTTCATTTGACGCTTTTCCATAGGCAATATTTTCTGCAACAGTAAGATCACATACAAGAACTGATTCTTGATTGACGAGGCCAATTTGTGACCGTAACCAAGACAAATTCAAACTTTCTATATTATGATCATCAAGTAGCTAATCATTTTACAGAAATAAGGGATATTTTTATTGTAAATATAATTTTTCAATAAATAATAAAAGTTTTTCTGATTGCTTTTATACATTTATGGAAAATTTTTCAGATACACCTCTACTGAATGATAGACTTGAAAACTATATACGATCAGTTGAAGGTACTCTTCTCTAGGACTTTCTTGAAAGTAAAAGAAAAACTTTTTCATTTTCTTTCACATAATAATTTTCGAAGATAATAGATACAATCAATGTTCAACTATTTTGCAAGAGAAATTTCAAACTATACTTTTCTTGTGTGTATGATTGCTGAGGTTCAAAACCAAAACTCACAATATCTTTATCATTCGCCTGTCATATATAGCATTATCAGTATACTTAGATACTGAATTCTATCAATTACTGAAATGAAATCGTTATTAAATTACTTGAGGTATTCAAAATATTTTAATGCTTTTTGGACATCTGAAATCTATATAAACTCCACCTACATACCTTCTGATATACAGATATTTTGTTAGTTTTACAAGGATATATTTTAAATAAAATATCTTTGAGAAATATCTAATAGAACACATCGATTATATTAGATATTCATATCAAGTTATTGTTGATAAAAGAAAATATGGTTAAAATATATTTTTAATATCAACTGAATAATCTGAAATATTAAACTTTCGTAAATTAGAAAATAAAACAACGATGAACTTTATTCGTTTCAATCCTTTTTCTTATTGTTGTGATCAGAGATTTCTCGAAATTCTGTAATTTCTTCGTAAAGCAGAAATCATATAGATAATTTCATATGAATTCAATCATGTACCTACCGAATTGGTGATGGGTTTTAATGAAACTTTCAGAATTTTCACAGTTCTTAATTTTAAGAATTTCAATGAAAATTTTTTTCCTACGAAAACTTTTGTTATGACCAAGATACGTTCAACATATTGAATATGGGAAAAATCGATGTACATTGAAATAGAAATTTTCTCAAAAGTTGTTCATAAATAGTTTTCGACATACTTCTACACTACATCAAGGTCAAAAATTAAATCTAAGGACATATTTTGATTTCTTATATAAAAGTGCATCTATCTAAACAAAATATAGTTTTAATCTTGAATCGAACTGTCTCTTAAATATGATGAAAATGATCTTCAACAACACCAAAATGAATATTATTTAGAGCATTCTTTTGGTCATGATTTTTCAAAAAAGTCGAATTGCTTTATATGATGTTACAGATTATTTCATAGAGCTTCACTTGCTCTACTTTTCTCATCAGAAATCAAAATATGTCCTTTTATTTTATTTTTGACCTTGATTTAGTGTAGAAGTATGTCGAAAAACTATTTATGAACAACTTTTGAGAAGATTTCTATTTCAATATACATCGATTTTTATCAAAATTCTTAGAATTAAGAGCTCTATAAACTCTGAAATTTCATCAATTTTTTGTACGATTTCATATGATCTTACAAGACTTAATATATGATTTGTTCACCTGAGTTCGGTATGAAGTAGTTGATTTCATGTGAAATTATTCATATGATTTATTATTATTTTAGTTTTCGAATCGACAATGCTTAACTATCTCAGGTAAAAAAAAGTTACCGGTCATAACAACTATAATTTATGATCGGAAATGAACTTATTGTCAAATATTCATGTAATAGAAATCTAATAGATTTTCTTGTTTTTAACGATAGTTTGAGTACTTACTATACGACCTTGATTGCAATCATAAAATCGTTCGAGTAACTGAATTAATGTAGATTTACAACATCCACTTGGACCTTACATTAATGTGAATATATTTTTCAATTGATTCAACTTTAAATAAATTTTCTTACCAACAAATGCAATACTTTGACCTGAAAGTAAAATGATATTTGACAATTCAAGAGTATGAACAAGACTAACAAACCAGATTTTATTTCTAAATCAAATTCATTGAGTACAGTTATCAACTTGCGTGTTGGATATGAGAAAACAATTTTCTCAAACTTGATTGATCCCGAAAAATTATCCTGTGAATAAAATAAAAAGAATAGAATATCATGTTTATATTTCAGAAATTTTTACTATTATATTGCCCTTCGTTGAGCTATTGTCAATCATTGGTTTACGTTTAAAGAGTCGATTTAATCTTTTGGCTGATGCAGCTGATCGTGCAAATTCTTCTGAACTATTTTAGTTAGAAGTAATTTAATAATAGATTATTATAAAGCAATATGGTTATATATCACCCATAATATTGTTAAACAGCATTAGTCATTATGATAAACAAGAAAGAAATGTTAAATAACAAGTATAGATCTCAAACGAATATGTTACTTATTCGGATATATGGTGTTTTTTTTTTGAATTAATCTACGACTTTATTGACTTGAATAAAGAAACTTTCAAGGCCAACAAATCAGATTTTTAGAGAAAAAAACAAGGAATACTAATGATGTTTTATTTTGGTCAGTTTAAGATCTTACTAAAATATATGATGTACTTCATATTTATTCTACACATTATAAAATAATAGTAAGTATAAATTTGTTTACGAAAATTTTCTTGTTGAAAAATGGCATATATCTTAATGTAAATTTCATTAAGTGTCGCTATTCTACTATTGATTTTCTTCAAGTACAATCAATGAAACTGATTTAACAAAAAAAAACTATACATCAATATCCTTGTATCAGCATTCGAAACAACTCTTGACAATACTTATATTCTATCTACTATTGTATTCACTAATCGACGATCTTGCCCTATTCTTTCCAGGTTCTTGTTTTTCTTTACTTTCAGACAAGATCCCTGTATTCAGACAAGATTCTTTTCGACAGGAAAGTAAAAAGAATCTTGTCTGGATTCCAAGATGACAAGAATCTCATCTGATTAATCAGAAATAGAAGAATCAAGCAAGAATCATAAGATATTCAAGATATATTTAACGTTCAGGCAAGAATCTTTTTCTTTCCTTTTAAAAAGAACCTTGTCTGAGGTTCAAGATCAAAAGAATCTTGTCTGAGAATTATGAAAAAACAGAAACTGGAAAGAAATGCAAGATATTTTAAATTTCTTAAAGTTCACGCAAGATTCTTATGACAGGAAAGAAAAAGATTCTTGTTAGCTTTTCAAGATCAACGGCACGTGATGTCGTCTTTGTATGATCAAATATATAAAGCAATGTCTGAACGTTATTTATTCATTATTAATTCGATAGCTAGTACAATATCACTTTGAATATGTACTTTTCCTAAAACGTTCGATTCGTTCAAACAACATCTAGCAACTCTATTTCAATTAGATCTAGAGAAAATGTTTCCATTCGATATAGAGAGAACAATGAAATATATAATAGCTTTTTTTTAATTTTTTTCCGATAAATTACACTTATTGAATACATTTCAATATTTTATAAAACCATATCTTTCTATTTATTTTGTTTTTTTAGATTTTCTTTCATTATGTACAAAAGTATTTTTTTAATGGACGATGGAAATCCCAGATACCCATGACAATGATGAAGTTCGAAAAAAATAAATATTTTTTTTTTTGATAATGAAAATTTTATGTTGTTTGTTATGTCAAAAACTGTGAAACTTCTATAATAACATGTGAAACTAAAAGTATTTTTTTTGTTTTTTTACATTTTTTTGTACATGGTGTGCAAAGCTCATAATAAAATGGTATGAAACAGATAGTAATAACAACTTATACAAGGCTTTTATAATATGACAAGATTCAGACAAGAAACACAAGAAATAAGAAACAGACAAGAATCTAAGGAAAAAAGAATCAGACAAGAATATCAAGAAAAATAAAAATCAGACAAGAATGCAAGAAAAGCAAGAATACAAGAATCTTGTCTGGAGAATAAATTCTTGCCTCACCAGCCAAGATTCGGTCTACATGAATCTTGTCAGAAAGGCAAGATCAGTTTTTTCAGGCAAGAATCTTGTATAGAAGGAATGGAAAAAGAATCTTGTCTGAAAACCAAGAAAAACAAGAACCTGGAAAGAATAGGGCAAGATCGTCGATTGGTGTTGTGAAAATTCTACGTCCAATTGAAAGTGAATTGTAGAAAGGCTACTATTTAACTATGAAAAATCTAGCACAAAGACACTATTGTGATTCGAGACCGCATTGAATAAAAAACTTAATCTGACATTTGAGATTAAAAATCCTGTAGGACTTTCTCGAAGATTACATATGCTTAAGGTTACAGGTTCATATAAAAATTGTACGTTAAGTATACACTAATAGTATTATCATAATCCTTTGATTATAGAATATTTTGTAGTGTAGCGAGTAGCATATATATATATACATAAATATCTTTAGTACGTACACGATAGTAGATAACTGTATCACGTCAAGTCCAAATGGTATAAAAGCAAATAACCTATACATTATCAAATTAAATAATGGAAGCACATCGAAAAAAATTTTCAATTATTTTTGTTTAAGTATTAAAGAAAAATAAAATTAATTATTTTTTCATTGAAAATAATTCTTTTAGCTGTTTTGTAAAATATCGTTATTTTTATATTAATTTCAAGAGAAATACGAAATAAGAAGTTGAACTTTTTTATACATAATGACTGATGCAAAAGTCTTGGCATAAATGTCGGACTTGATTGTGAGCTTACTCAAGGTGTTAGAAAACTGGTTCTTCTTCCATTAGATAGAGCAAAGTCTGAAGATTAAAAATGCATACTTCAAAAACAAATTGTGAGTTGAGCAACGTTTCACATTTTCAGTGTTCGAAAGGCGCCAAAAATAGCTTTGCAACCAGCCAAAAATTAATGTTTTCTCTGTAATTTTAGATTTATGAACATTTTCAAAAAGTTTTTAGCATTACTATGTTCTACAAGCAAAATACTATATTGAAAAAATTTTGAGACGAAACGGATATTATCAGCTTGAGATATAACTCTCTTTCACTTTAGCGAAAACTGGCGCCATACCACTTTTATGACGGCTTTATCTTATGAAGAAGTTTATATCAAATAAACTTTTTGAGTGTAAAGTTGAATTCGGTGTTCTTGAAGAGTTCGGAAAGCTGTATCTTCTGAATGACTTAAGCTCGACTTTTTTTTTTTACATGAGGGTCCCGGTC